ATACATTCCATATCTCGAGATGAGATTATTCTGAATTTAGAGTGGATTCTAAATCCAATGATATGTGGCTGTATAGGAACAGAGGAAGAAAAAATACAGATTCAGAGGAGAAGGCCATGTGAAGATGGAGGCAGAAATTAGAATTATTTCCTTCCAAAAGCCAAGGAATGCCTGGAGCACCAGAAGCTAAAATAGACAAAACTGGATTCTTTCTTACAGGCTGAGAAGGGAGTATGGCACTGCTGACACCTTGACTTTGAATTTCTAACCTTCAAAACTGTGACAGAATACATTTCTGTTTGTAAGCTACTCACTTTGTGGTAATTTATGGCAGCTCTAGGCAACTAATATCATATGTAATCAAATTCCTGTGCCTAAGAGAGAAAACAATATTAGGAAACAAATGTCCTAAAAGGATAACAACAAAGATGTATATACACTGCTAAAGGAATCATAGAAATATTATTGTTTGTGAGTTAATTAGCTTGAGCTTAGTAACATTTTGTATTTCTCTTTAATTTAGAAAATATGAAGGTCAAAGCATTAGTGAAGACTTTTCAATAATTTATTTTTTATATACATATTTATCCTACCACCTAAAAGGCACACTACTAAACATCCATAATGAAGATTTAGAAAGAGTCTGGAAGATAAATACACAAAATAAACGACAATTTGAATCATTGAGGCTTTTGAAACACTGGGAGTAACTCTTGGCAGGTGAGAGAAAATAGAACAGGATCCAGGGAGCTGATGGACTTTTCGCTCTATGAAGGCGACTCTCCTTTGCTGCAATCAGTGGCAATACAAGGAGAGACTAAGGGGGACATAGTACCTAAGTACTACTCACTTGCATATGCCCAATGGTTTAAATACTCCAGTGTTATAGAACTGAGGATCCATAATCTTAACACCAACAGGACAATAGCATTGATCAAACGGCTCCAGATTCATAATGTATTCATTTCAGTATTACCTCAAGTTCTTGATGTCCCGTGAGACAAATACAGCACGGTTTGAGACACCTTAGTGTTACACTCCTTCATTTGGATTAGAGTGAGTGACTCAGACATGCTCAAATCAGCATCAATCTGATGGGGACACATTCTGACTTAATTATGTAGTATCATCTTGCTCTCTAATGGTATCTCCTCGGGTGGAGTGGCTCTGAGACATCACTGTTATCTAGAGATTATTGACATGCACAATTTTAATTTGGGGGTCAGCCTGAAGCTATATGTTTTCAGGTTTAGGTTAATTATTCTCTTGGGTTTTTAGTCATAATTTTCCTGATTCTCCATTTTTGTTTTACAGCATTCTTATTTCTATTAGTAGACAAGGAGTGCAATAAAAACGTATACAGAAAATCTTGCTGCATTATATAGTTAATAATTAGTCAATTTTAGGCCAATAGTTTAGCTATTTATCATTATCTTTCTTTAGATATATGTTAGCTAATGTCTACTAATCTGTAGTCAATTATAAACATTTGCTGAGATTGCTTTGCAATTTTGCTCTTTTCCTCAATTTGATGACATTTGGGTGCAGTAAAATTTCACCACAAAAAGAGATATTGTTCTGGCAATAACAGAATATGGCTATGAGAAGATTAGGTACTTATTTTACTGAAAGTTGGTACTATTTATTAAGCCCCTATTTTATGCCATTCCAATATAATTAATAATTGTTCCAAAGATATTGGGAAGGAAATGTCGTTGTGACAGTTTACAGTTGAAGATTCTGATGCACTGAAATGCTAAATAATTTTCCTAAGGTCACATTAGTAAAAATCAAAGCTATGGTTGAAACCAGGTTTTTAAAATTCTAAAGTCCACACTATAAATTTTTAAAAATTTACCAAATTTTCATAGATTGTAACAGAAATATACTCCAAATATATGGCAGTTCATAGGAGGAGGTATAAGTGTGCTTTGGAACATCAGAGAAGGCTCACCCCTTCAGCCAGACTGAACTCATGTTCAGCAACTTCCAGTTCCTTGGATGCATCTCTCGGCTTTCACACACTTTCCTCTTTGTAACAGTACTGTCACCTCCTTCTCTCAGCTGAAAATCATGGCAGCCTTCGGTGGCCATCTTGGTCTTGCTAGGTAGATTACCTTTCTGTAAACTCCATCATTCCACTTATTTCCTATATCATAATATTTACCTCACACTGTTGTAAATACTTACTAAATCTTCAATATTCCCAGCCAGTAGTTCCATGAGGGAAGGGATTATTTTTACCTTTTCTGAGACTCTACTTCTAACACCTCAGTTGAATAAAGAATGAATAAGTGTTTTAAGTGACCAATTATTGGAATAGTTGATTAGCATCTTTAGAGCTCCAGTCCAAAATGATGATTATGATGGCCAAGAAGATGATTGTGATAACAACAATTTATAAAGCTAATGGATGGCACTGTTGAGTGTTTACCCAGTGCTGTGCCCTGTGCTCTGCATTAATTACATCATTTAATCACCATGTAGAGCATTATGCCTAATGTTCAACATTAATTATATCATTAAATCACCATGGCTACCCTATAATGTAGTTATTATTTCTGTTTTGCAGATAAAACTGAGGCCTAGGGTAGTAGTTACTGGATTTAGGAATATAATTGTAAAATAAAAAAAGCAGGGAGGGGAGCAGAGGTAATGAAAACTGTTATGTTTGCTAACTCTTTATTTCGCTGTTTACCATAGCTATTATCAACTCTCCCATACTTTCACAAAAGGAAGTTCATTTTCTCTTAAACTAAATAATTGGGGAAGAGAACATCTGGAAAAGAGAAGTCCTTCCCAACACAGGAAGTTGGCAATCTTGCTCCGATTTTAGTCCAACATATACATGGGTATTTCAAAGAGTTCTTGGAAAATGGAATTGAAAGATAATACAATCTTTCCATGAGTTTTTTGAAGAACTCTCGTACCTTATCCTTATATCAATGTGTTAAGAGCTGGTGTCTGCAACTACTGTTGTAGTTCCAACTCTGGTTCCTAGTCCACAGAAGCTAGTGGCCTTGGACAGGACTTAAATTCCTCTGGGCTGCTTCATGTGACAAGTGAGCCCTTTTAACTGCATAGGGTCTATGTCTTAGAATGGTAACTTTGTTTTTTTAAAACCTTGACTGTTTTTTTCTTTCACGGAAGATCCATACTGCAGTATGATGAGAGAGATGTTTTAAATTATTGATTCTTCATATAAAGTTCATGATGAATTTATTTTTCAGATGTTTTTAAAGAAACTGAAAATGTTTCAAGTGACCCAAAAACTGCTATGATAATGATAAAGCATTTGTGGGGAAAATCTATACACCTAAGAAAAAAACTTTGAAAAATTATCATGAGCCTATATTTTAACATATTAATAATTATAATTTATAGTCAGAAGTTCGAGTCCAAATTTATATTTTAGTGGCAAAAATACAAAAACTGCCTAATCTATCATTATAATAAATGCAGTGAAGTGTTTTGTTAAATGTGGCACATATTGCAACTGGCATATGATTTCTTTTCGTTGTAACATGAACCTACTTTAATGTAGCATATCTATTACTATGAGCCTACTTGAATGTAACATATCTATTAATTATGGCAAGTTATACTTATTTTCCAATTATGGCAATATTAAATTTCATTCTTAAAAACATTTTTAAAGAAAAGTGACTCCATTTAAATAATATTAAATTAACAGCATGAGTCATCTACCAATTTATAGGAAATTACGTAGCTGCTCTTCTGTAAATAACTCCATTTTGAGACACAAAATGTTTGGGAATAAAGTGCCCAAGACTTTGAATTTATTAGGACTTCATACCAATAATTAAAACTTTTCAGTGGTAGCACAAAACTAAAGGTCAGAGATAACATGCCTTTCAGAAGTCAAACCCTAGGCCTAGTTGAATATAACGCAAAGAGAAAAGACTACCAATATGTGTCTGTGGATGCACAAATGAATATTTTATTTTAATTGTAAGTTTATAAACCTAGGAATAGGGTTAACGGGCAGCAGTAGATGTTTGATTGTTCTGTTTATTTTAAATAGAGGCATTCTGAATGTGTTCACAGGCAGAGGGAAAGAAGCCTGCATAGAAGGGAGACTTGAGAAAGGAGAATTGACAAAGCACGTTGCCAAGGAAAGAGGATGGGATCAAGATGATTGATAGAGGAAGTGAAGGTCTCTGGGGAGTAAGATGATTGATTGAGGAGATAAATTGGTACAGAATGAAGCCAGATGTTTTTTAAAAATGTTATCTACCCTATACTTCTAAGTAGGGTGTTTTTCTGCTAAAATGCCTTGATCAGTCGTAGGGATCAGATTTTCCAGCAATCACCATCATTGGTACCCACATACTACATTCCACCCACATGTAGGTAGTTTTGTTCTCTTATGAGATTCTCCAGAAGGAAAAAGAAAAGTAGGCTTGCCTTATAGTAGAGTCCATACAATATTGGGCTCATTACTTTATCAGGTGAGCATAGGAAGGCAGGTAGTGTGTTGGTGTAAATATAAAAGGAAACAGTTTTTTTGAAACTCCTTGTATTATATATTTCATTGCCTCAGCTGCTGTTTTCTATAAAGTAGCTAGGAAAAATATTTCAATGTCAGACGTATAAAAAATATACACATTTCAGATATTCTAACTTTCTTTCAAACTGTTTCCCCATAGTCTTTAAAGAAACATGGCAATATTATTTTTTCCCTAGAAATGTTTTTAGAAGAGAAGTTCAAAATCCAATTTAGTAAATTCCTAAATGCCTTGATGAAGATGGCACACATGAGAAGGGTCAGAGTTATGGAGAGGAGCTGCATGTTCATTTATTTGTTTGTAAGTTAAGGTCTGTAATCGTAGAAGCACTTCTGTAATCCCAACTTTTATTTTCACAGTCCAGAATTCTCTCCACAAGAAGTCCTGCTTTCTTAAAATGTATTTATGACAGAGCCTTTTGTCTCTTTCAACTGTATTTTTTAAAAAAAGCAAATAATCCAAACTGTGTGGTGACTTTAAATGATAAACTTTTATTCTGAATATACTGTTTTTGCACAAGATTTAACACAACATTTTCTGGGATTATAAATATTTTTATAACAGTATTATACAAATTTTTACAAAATGTTTTTGTCAGGCTAGTTAATTTCCACAAAAGTGTCAAGAGAACATAATAAAAGGGGAGGAAAGATCTATTGTTCACAAAAGCCACTTGGTCTTTTACATGGATACACACTGAGCATTTCAATAAAAGTGTCCCTAAAAGCATGACCCAACAATCATACAGTACAACAAAAGAAGACGGCTTTGCCAGGTCACATTGGAAACTCTACTGGCATCTAAGACAGTATCCCATTAGTCTCGGTGGAATTTCTTTGAGATAATTATGTGAACTAGAAATAAGGAAGATGAAACTATTGATAAGGGTTGTCCAATTCTTTGAAATTCTGGAAGTTTTTCAATATGATATTTCTGTTTTATTGATTTGCTCTTTACAGAAAATGCATAGTGAATATTAACAATATTAACATTCTATAGGAAACAAGTTCCAGATAATAAAATATTTGAAACTGTGAGCAAGTGAAAAAGTCATCCTATTCTACACTTAAAAAAAAAAAAAAAAAAAAAAAAAGTCAGGGCATCCATTTTGTCTCACAATTCGGACTCTATATGCTTTTAGATATTTGAATGTCAACTAACATTATCAATGGAATAGCTTAAGAGATTTAAATTAAGACATAGAACATAAGCTCTGGGGACAAGACAAAGATTTAAATGAGATGTAAAATACAGGAGAGCATCAAATAAGCAAGTTAACACTTGGATTGCAAAGGTCACTTAAAAGGGATACTGCCTAATTGAACCCCATAAGGCCAGTTTTAAAGTTAATAAAACAAATATTATAGGAAAAATTACAAATGGCAGCAACATTATTTTGTTTTTTTCCAAGTTAAGCAATAATGCTTCAAGCATTAGAAACATGAAAAAAGATCATACTAAAATCTTATAGGCCCAGGACCTAAAAATCTCTTCAATCAAACTTGCTAACTATGTCATGTTAAAAACCTGTTACAAATATGGACCACGATTGGTGTTTGGCAGTAATGCTGGTTGTTAAAATGAAAAAAATATAAAGAAACCATTAATGCACAATTTTTTCCTGTTACTCAACACCAATGCAAGACATTTTGACTTTGTTTTAGTGACAAACTACAGTAAGCCATATCAGTCTAGCAAAAAATAAGTAAGTAAAAAGTTTAGAAGCTTTTTTACTGATCTCTTATACTGTTCAGTCTTTGGATATCAAATTAATAACAGGCTATAATTTAAATTCTTATCAACAGCTAGAACCCATAGAAAAATAGTGAATTTAATGTAACAGTTTGATGGGATGAGTGTTAGTGTCTTTTAAAAAAAATAGGCTAAAATCATAAAGACTAGTCATGAGGACAATTTTTAGTCAGAGAGCATGTTCTTACCCAATTTATTACCATGTATGTGGTTGTCATAATATAACTTTATTTTAAAACAGAAAATAAAGTCTGATAGCAAAACTAATGCATGTAAATATATTTTGATGTCATTAGAAATCAAATAGGACCCTGCCAAGAGATGCCAGGTTTAACTGTGGTTAATACAACAATAATGTAGCTGATGAAAACATACTATACAACATTAGCCATGAAAATATACCAGACTTTTAACATAATTTTAAGGTAGTTTGTTGTAGGCTGGAAGCAATTTAATTGTTTCAATGTGCATCGTTTATATACACAAACAATTCTATATTTTGATATGCCCTTCCCAACACTTTCATAATTTAAAATAGTCTAGCAAAAGTTAACAATAAGATTTGAATATTTAATTAACAAACAACATGACTTAAACATATTGTTACTAGAATGAGAAGTTCCATATTGTTTTAAATCACTTTGGTGTTTTCTAAAATATCTATACCAGTTATGAATGAGACTACAAAATTACAACAATGCATTAGAAATGGTAACTGATGTCAACTGTTAGAACAATAGTTGGCAAAGTTATCCCATTTTTCCCTTCCCCCTATTTTAAATAAAAAATATCTTAAATAAGAAAATGTACACAAATGGTACATAGGGTATATTTGTGGTGGGAGAAAATTACAAATGTAAGCAAAGCTAAAAACAAAACAAATATATCTTTTAAACTAGGTTAAAGAATTGGTTATATCTTTTATTTATGGAGCATACTAAAGCATGCTGGATAATCTTAATAACTTTGACTTAAAATGATATTTAAGAAAATTTCCAGCTGTACACCCACCAATATTTGGCATGTTCAAAAAAGGAAATAATGCGTTTTCCCATAAAAAATATCTGCATCCTCTCAGGTTCAGTAAAATTATTCACTGTCCCTAAAGTTACACATTCATTGTTTTTACCCTTTCTTCAAATACTGTTTACTCCTGAAAATAATTTTTAAAAGCATAAATAATATTCTGCTATCATATTAATCTATAATGAAATATCTGATTTACTACACTAACCATTTCACCAATGAGGCTGTATAAAAACAATTTTTATTCACAATCAAGTATTCATGTGCATACATATAGATTCAAGGTTTCCTATTTGTTCAGATTATTGTAAAACCCTCATCAAATTGCATGGAAATTTTGATCAAATGATCATGCCATTTAAGATGGAGGGACAAAAGCAGCAATAGCAGAAATGTTTGGATTGTATGTGCTACTATTGAAACAAACAAAGAGGAAACCTAGGATGAATCTTCATTGAGAACATATATGTACTTTTCAAAAAATAAATGTGTCAAATCTGATTTATGTACTTAAAATATCTGTACATAGGTTTTCAGGCAAAAGCACGAATCTCTATAAAATCCATTAATTCTTATTTCACCATTTACCTAGCTCAGTCATTCAGATTCACATTGCACAGTATATTCAGAGTAGTTTAACATTTTTAAAGATGACTTAAGTGCATTTACACTGCAAGGTTCAGATTCTTACATAACAATAATGTCACTCAGTTAGCTTTTCAATGGACTACATTCTACAATAAGAGAAAAACAAAGTGAAAAGTTAAAATAGCAGCAGCATCATGCAAAATACCCTTGGTAACCAAAGTTCATTTATCACAAGAAAAACATTTTCCCCTTCCCCCCAACAAGCTTTTCTTAGAGCATTTAAAAATATCTCGCTAGCACTACATAACTGTACTGTGAACAAAAAAAAACATTACGTCAAAGCATTTATTAAGGGCTTACATTTATGAGGAAATATATCATATATTCAAATTTTACCCTCAAGCACCTTTAATTTAATACATTTCTTAGTTATTTTCAAACCATTTCATTACCCCACCAAAATTGAATTGGTCATCAATTGTGTTATATTTTTGGCAGAGAAGCCATTCTTCATAAGGCATCTTATTCATGGCAAATTTTTGAGGAAAATTAGCCATTATTTATTTCAACAATTTAGACCAATGTTAACTCTCTCACGTGCACTCTCTCTATATTTTCAATCACTACTCAAAGCAGGAGCTAACTTTTAACAGAAGACTACGTGAAGGCAAAGATAACTTTTCTTTTCTCTAAAGAGTTTCTTGGTAAAATTGCAGCAAGTCAAAATTCCATGTCAAAATCAAGACATTTCTTATGAATCATAAACAATTGTATGGGGAGCCCATTAACATGTATTCACCAACAATGCAACAACAAACTCCCATATTTTCCAATAGAGCACATATAGAATTTTGCTTTGATGTTATACATAGATGATGCAGCATTTACACAAGTTTAAGGATCTGACACCCTGACATGCAGCCAGTGGGTGCCTTATAAGTCTGCGCTTTAGGTGTTATGCCATGGTGTAGGCCCATAATGTTCTGCTGATTCCACAGGCAACCCTGTTTTAATGTAGTTCAGGGCTCATGTTTTGGCAGGGTCTGGAGTTTAAGTTATGAAGATTTGGTTTTAGATGGTCATAACAGGCAGTGTTTGCCAGATACCAGCCAAAGTAGTACAAACTGGATTCCAATGATAGACCACAAGGAGGGATTTAATCCAGAAACACCACCACAGTCGGTATAATCCTCCTGTTGGGAAGAAAAGGAAAAATAATCTGGAAAAATATTTAGTATGATATCTTTTTGAGTAACCCATATTTAGTTCATTTCTGAACTTACCTTGTAAGATTAGTTTAATAGGAATCCAAGTAAACTACATTTTCCTAGATTTTATTGTTCTGCAATTTTGGATAAAGCAATTTCTCTAGCACCATTTGACATGCGCTTTAAATTTTTAGTTGTAGATTCTGATGATTATGAAAGAAAATACTTTAATAATGCTGTTTTGAATAATACACCAATTTTTAAATAAAAAATTCCATTCATAGCATCAAAAATTCCTATATATTTATAAATACAAAAAATAAAAATAAAATTTACCAGTATGCTTTATAATTCCCAAGAATGATGATTTTAGCAACCGTGCTCCGTAAGGAAAACTTTAGGCCTAATAAAATGAATGAATTTAAGAAATACACTTCCATTTCCCATGTCTCATATCCAGTTTCTAAGGTGAACATACAGTACATATGTAACATCTGGACCTTCATCAAGAATAATTGAACCACAAACAATGAAAGGACACTCTGAAATCATATATCCAAAATAAAGAGCTAAACTAGAAAGAGAGGTTTGTATTGATTAGAGAAACATGAAATATTAGTAATGAATATGCTCATTTGGATTCCCCACAGTCTAGTGGTGGTTTATTTCATTCTCTACTAATGCAGACTTATTCTTTATCTTATATTCCTGGATTCTTTATTCTGTAGCATTTTCAATGTCCTTTAATTTTTTTTTAATATAGTGAATTTCATTTTTAAAAACTCACATATCTAATTATTCTACTAAAAATGTTTCAAGAATTCACTAACCCAAGGGTTCTGTTTCCAAGAATCAATATAATAGGTGATATAAACAAATAAAAACATTTATTTTTTTTTCAGAATAATTTTACAAAAAACTTTAAGCTCCCAAAGAATAAGAGCTTTGGCTCTTTTTGTTCACCAGGGTTTAATACAGTTCTTGCCAATGACTAAATTAATAAAACTTCTTTCTTGACTTGTACTTTAACAAACAAAGAGTTTTACAAATAAAGAGAAGGCTGGGAGAAAAGAATCTATAAAGCACAATTTTGTTATTTTTCAAAAGCTACCTCCCAAATGTAAATAGACTCATAAAGTGATAATTCTTAGTTTTAATCCTATTTGACCTTTCAGGAGCATTTGACAATGTAGAATATGCTCTCCTTGAAATATTTTCTCACGTATCTTTGGCTAACACACTGTTCTTGGTTTTCCTCAAAACTTGTTTGTGGTTCATCTTACTCTCCTTGGCTTGACCTCCTCCTCTTCATGCTCTCTAAATGTTAGACTTTCTCAGGGGTTGGTTTTCTCTTTTTTCTTTATTTATTCTTTGTTCCTAGGTGATCTAATTCAGTCCCATGGCTTTAAGTTTCATCTATTTGCTAATAACTCAAACTTTTATATCTTCAGCCCTGAATTCTCCTTTGACCTCTACATTCATTGATCTATCTCTACAACCTTTCCTCTTGTAGGTTTCAAATAGAATTCAGACTTAACTTGCCCCCAAATATTATTCTTCTGAATATCAGCAAATGGCACTTCTGGAGTAGTGGATCGTGTCCAAGACTACAAGTCATCTGGCATCCCTCTATTTTTCTTAAATCTAATCCGTCAGCATGTCCTCTTAACTCTAGTTTCAAAATACATCCCCAAAACTACCACTTCTCTCTATCTTAGGGCCAAGTCACCATCAGTTTCTGCCTATACTTGTGCAAGATCTGCCTCGCTTTGTCTCGTTGCTTCTGCTCTGCCCGTTGACAATCTCTTCTTTAAAAAAAAAAAAAAAAAAAGCAGTCTTCTTAAAACCATAAATTGAATCCTTGCACTCCCTGCTTGAAATTCCCCATCAGACTCAGAACAAAATCCAGATTCATTGCCAAGGCCTACAAAGTTTTACATGGTCTGGAACCTGGCTGCTTCTCCATCTTCGTCTTCCCACATTCCTCTCTTCCCCCCCACTGCTTACTCTACTTCTCCAATAACACTGGCTTTCTCTGCAACAGGCCAAGTTGTTTACTATCTCAGCGACTTCGCATTTGCTCTGCTCTTTGTTCAGATACTTGTCCCTCAAGATAGGGTAACCAGGTAAAAAAAACCAGGATACCTAGTTACATTTGAATTTCAGATTAAAAAAAAAAATACTTTCTTAGTGTAAATAGATCTCAAGTATGATACACAGAGAAGAGTGGTCTGACATGTAGTATGTATGTAGTAAGTATTTAATAAATGAATAGTCCGTACTCAATAAAGCAGCACATATACTGATTGCTTAGAAACACTGCAAACATCAGATACTAACTTAAAGGCCTAATAGGAGTACTCTCTGGTTCTGGTAAGTATTCATTTGATGGAATGAAAAATAAACATGCAAACAAAAACTCATTTATGTATTAATAATATATTTTGTCAAAGAAATTATTAATGTAAAACATATATTTATATTCTAGAAATGTGCTCGCTTTGGCAGCACATATACTAAAATAAATTCTAGAAATGTGTTATGGAAAGAAAAATATTCTCCCTGTCTTTTCATTGTTTTTATTTTTTTATTCTTGGGATTTATTGTTTGTTTCATTTCCTCTGTATGATGCGATATGTTGGTTTGCATTTAGGAGGTGGTAGTTTAGATTAGTTGTTTGGAGTCCCTGTAGTCCGCATGTTGATACACACTAAAAATTCTACCTCACGGGCTGGCCCATGGCTCACTTGGGAGAGTGTGGTGCTGATAACACCAAGGCCACGGGTTCAGATCCTATATAGGGATGGCTGGTTCGCTCACTTGGGAGAGCGTGGTGCTGACAACACCAAGTCAAGGGTTAAGATCCCCTTACTGGTCATCTTTAAAAAAAAAAAAAAAAAAAAAAAAAAA